TTATCTGGGGAAGAATGGGAAGAACACATAAAACTATGGAGTGCGTGCGTGCTCAGTCACTCAGGCATGTCTGACTCTCTGCGACTCCACGGACTGCAGCCCACCGGGCTCCTCTGTCCGTGGGACTCTCCAGGCAAGAGTACTGGAGTGGGTTGCCACTTTCTCCTCCAGGGGATCTTCCCGACCCAGGGATCGAACCCGCATCTCTTGTCCGTCTCCTGCATCGGCAAACAGGTTCTTTACCACTAGCGACACCTGGGAAATAAGGCTCTCGAGACATGCATCCAAAATGCTACACTTCTTCCAGAAAAGCAGCTGGTGCGACTCTTTGAGCTGAGAGCGGTAATGGATATGTTTTTTCAAGAAACATCATTGACATTTGACAGAATGACCGACAGGCAAACTCATTATTCAGACTCGGGTATCGGGCAGACATTTCCTCAAAAGTGAACAAAGTCAGCCCGTCACTTCAAGGGAAGCAATTCACAGCATTTGTTGCCAATAATATTTGACCTTTGAAGCCAAACTTCAAATTTTGGAGAACTTTGACCCACCACTCTGAGCATGACAGTTCTTTATGAGGTGGTGGTAAAAAGGTGATTAAAAAAAAAAAACTTTTTTTTTTTTTTGTTGCTGTGGACCATTTTTTAAGTCTTTATTGAACTTGCTACAATACTGCTTCTGTTTTATGTTTCAGTGTTTTGGCTTGAGGCATGTGGGATCTTACCTCCCAGACCAGGGATTGAACCAGCGCCCTCTGCTCTGGGAGGCAGAAATCTTTCGCTTTGGGAGGTGAAATCTTTACCACTGGACCACCAGGGAAGTCCCAAAGGTGAGTCTCTGATACGACTCAATGAAACGTTATGTTCAGAATATCAGCATACCTCAGGCATCCCATATGCGCCAATGACCAATGTCTGAGGTTACAGAACCACACGTGTAAAAGGTCCGTTCCGAGCACAAGATGGGCCAATGGCTTTCACTGTGACTGAGCACAAAGGTTCACTAACACGGCTCCACAGTCACACTGCAAGTGACCTTTAATAGTCCTTTTTATTATTTCTCAACTAAAAATTTCAGAACACAATTTTTACTATAACCAGAACCTACCATCTCTTAGGTCGCGGTACAGTATTGAAGGGAAAGCATCCGGTCATCCAGAAGGCTATTACGGTACTTCTCCCTTCTCCAACTATACACCTATGAGAGTCTGGGTTTTCGTCATATACTCCAACAACAACAAAAATACACATTACGACAGGCCGACTATAGAAACACAGGTGAGAATTCAGCTGCCCTCCATCAAGGCAAGTAAAAGAAAACCATGACTCTCTTCTCATTAAACATTTCTGTTTTGGTAAACACTCACTTATCTTAAGAGTGTTTCACTTGCAATAGCATGGCACGGACCTCTCGTTGCTGCAGCGAATCGCTCAGCGGTTCTGCAGCGTCTGGCGGAGCTCTAACCGGCGAGCACCGGCAGAGTCGGCCCCGCGAGCAAGAGCTCCTTGACGCTCACCGTCAGGGACGGCAGGCGGCCCGGAGGCGCAGGGGGGAGGCCTCGCTGCAGAACCGCCGTGCTGCTTCTGCACGGCACCTGGATTCCCGGGGGCGGCTCTTCACCTGGTCTTTACACCTCTCCGGGCTCTGACGCCTGGCCTGCTGGCACCAGCGCGTCTGATGACCCCTCTGCGGTTCCCCGTCGGCTCCCCTCCCGTCCCCAGACTCCCCTAGGCGGTCCCTGCTCACTTTACGGGGCCACACCCAGCAGGGCGTTTGTGGAGGAGGGGCGGAGGCTTGCCCTTTCCTGGTCCGCACTGGTGCTGGGCCCAGGGCCTCCTCTCCCGGCTCCCCGCCACCATGAACCATCGGGGGAGGAACGCACGTCACCCGGCGCCAGGCCTGCAGGTGCCAGGTGCCCCCACGCTCTGGCCCCATGCGGCAGCGTCTCACATCCAAGCCCCTGGGGGGGCTGGAAACACAGCTTCTCCATCCAGACTATTGGAGGGCAAGAGTATGAACAGATGTGCGCTGTTCTGCAGAACTTCCCCCAGCAAAACGGAACTCACTGCCACTTATTTCAGCTGGGGAAGGCCGTCCAGTATACTCGCTGGGGTCCCCTCTTCCCCGTCACCCCACCAGCCACACGACACCCTGGCCTTCCCCGCAAGGAGACTCTGACGCCCTCGCTGAAGCTTCTGGCAACGGGGTGGACCGCCATCCCATGATATAAACCTGAACTTCATCAAGTACAGAAACAACGCATGAAGACCAGGCTGAGGGTTGTACTCAACAAACCAAAAATGAGTTTTCTCAATGGTTCTCAACCAGGGACTGATGTAATGAGAAGGGTGCTTGAGGAAGGTGCCCAAGAAGTTCTGAGAGGCGTGGAGAGGACAGAAGTGCAGCCAGAAGAAGGCACATGAGCTAAGATGCAAGAGCAGCCAGGCCCCAGGGGCGCTGCCTTCCTAGTCCATGTTTCCTCTTAATCATAAGAGGATAGCCTCTCAAGCACCATAGCCTCACGGTGTGGCCAGAGGCTAAGTTGCGACTTCACGAACTATAGCCTGCCAGGCTCCTCTGTCCATGGGATTTTCCAGGCAAGACTACTGCAGCAGGTTGCCACTTCCTTCTCAAGGGGATCTTCCAGACCCAGGGATCGAACCTATGTCTCCTGCATTGGCAGATTCTTTCCCACTGTTCCACCTGGGAAACCCTCACAGCCGCACATTCAACCAGTGATAGACGGCGGCAGCCCTTGTGCACAATGAGAAGCACCCTGGGGAGCCCGCACGGGGTCGCCAGGGACTGCCTCATCTAAGGGAATTACAGAAGAGCCCCCCAAAATCCCCAGGTGCCTGCAGCGGGCCTCCCTGAATCCTTGTGCACCAGAGGATCACGTGGAATCAATCATAACCACGTGACAGAAAGACGGATGGCTGCTGCCGGCCTAGCGTCTGTTGTACAAGCACACACACATACGCGTGCGCATGCGCACCAGAGAAACATTATGCCTTCCATGCAGCACCCTTGTCAAGAAACCCTTTCATCAGACAAGAAATCTTGGGTGAAAAATGAAAAGCCAGCATCGATTTCACTGTACAGCTGGTTTTATTTACAAATAGAAGCCAGATAATCTTGTATTTAAATGGCAGAAGTTCCATCACTCATGATCAGAGAAGTGACATTTGAAATTTATAAAGTGTCACACTATGATTCAATCTCTTTTCCAAGGAGGAAAAGAGTCTGAAGTTTGGGAAGAAAGACTAAAAAATACGAGAACAGTATCAGAGTGGGGAAATGATGGATCGATGCTGGCCTGAAATACATCTCCAGCAGGCACATTTCTCTTTACAAGACACCAAATGCGTCACCAGGCGGCCTGATGGGCTCTCAGATACGAGGTTCCCATTGTTCAACTCCAGGAAGGGCTTCTGCTTTCTCTGTCAATTCCTAAGTTAACAAGGGGAAAGGGGATCCACACAGTTTTCTTCAAGAGAATCGTCGTAGCTGATTTATGCGAATTAAACCCAAGGACCTCAATCTTTTGTTGCCTGTTGTTCAGTCGCTGAGTTGTGTTCGACTCTTTTCAACCCCATGGACTGCAGCACGCCAGGCCTCCCCGTCCTTCACTGTCTCCCGGAGCTTGCTCACATTCATGTCCATTGAGTCGGTGATGCCATCCAACCATCTCATCCTCTGTTGCCCCCTTCTCCTCTTGCCCTCAATCTTTCCCAGCATCGGGTCTTTTCCAATGAGTCAGCTCTTGGCCTCAGTCTTTGGACGACATCTTAGAAAAGCCTCACTTGGACCACTTCAAATCAAGCAGCTGAGCTGAGGCCTTTCCAGCCGGTGGCGTCAGGAACACTTGCTGCGACAACAGCTCCAGAAAAGCCGAGGCTTGTGGGGGACGCTGGTGACAAGCACATTGCCACGACCTGTCCTCTCGCTCCCGGCAGAAGGACCCCGCTCTACCTGGGACAAAGGGGTCCCGGCGGAACCCAAGCCCCCTGCACAGCCTCCGGCCTGGGGCGGCTATCTGTGCAGCAGACCGTCCTGGAGTGAGTGACCACAACGAGCCTCAGATCAAAGCCCTGCCCCAGGCTTTCCCCTCCAGGCCTCACTCTGCCCTCGTGCGTGTCCCCGGAGTGGTGTTACGCTGGGTGACCCGGTGCTCACACAACCCCACTCCATCCCAGAGTGGGCGCAGCCCCGGGCACCAGGCAGGCACCGTGTGGGCACCGGCTGAGCCAAACGGAGCCTGCAGCTGGCTCAGGGGCCAGCCAGCTTCCTCGGCCACCTCCTGCCGCACACAAGGCCCCAGCCCACCTTCTGCCCCTGACCTGCCAACTGCGTCCTCCCCAGGCACCTGTGGAAGAGCCTCCCCGCTGATACATGAGGGTGGAGGATTCCATCCAACCGCCAGGCCCTGGGTGACTGGCTCCTCCGGGAAAATCCCAGTCAGTGGCCCAGCTGACCACGGGTCTAGCAGAACCCCACGCACAGGGGTCCCACACATGCGGGCAGGCTGCCCTCTGGCTCTCAGCTCCCTGTGGGGCCCAGCGCCACATCCTGGAATGACAAGGTCCCTGAGCTGAGGATGGCAGGGCAGTGGGGCCAGCCACCCACACGCCCCATGTCACTCTAAATCCAATGCCCTTTAAGGGGCAGGTTCCTCTGAACTCTGTTCCATGGACAGTGAAATGGCTTGCCACAACGGGCTGTGCTAGGGGCAGAACCACACAGTCACGGCTGCAGCAGAGGAGGTGGGCCTAGTGGGGATCCGGCTCTGCAGGGGAGGGGTCCCTTCGAGCCTGTACTATGCCCCCCATGGACTCTGCAGGGGGGGCCAGGTCCCCCTGAGCCTGCACTGTGCCCCCCACAGGCCCCAGGGGCCCGTGTGCCCCCAGACAGACACACGTGCGCCCAGCAGCAGAGTCGGAGCTTCAGAAGGCTTGAGAGGCAGTGGCGGTGGTGGGGCGGGACCCGGGCGGGCTCACCTGGATGCCGTCCAGCAGGCGGCTCATGCACCAGTACGTGTCGGCCTCCACGTTGCGCAGCGCGTCCTCGGGCACCCGGGAGATGTCAGCGGCGTCCGCATCCTCGTCGTCTGCGGGGCAGCGGGGAGGAGACAGGGAGCCGTCAGGTCTCAGAGGATGTGCGCTCCACTCGCAGGAATGCCACCCCCCCCAGGACCCCCCTCCCTCCCACTTCTCTTGCTAACTGGACGACTTGTCTTCCACCTCATCACTTGACGGGCCGCAATTTTAATACCTAATTAGTTGCAGGTAATTAATATTATGAATCCTCTCCAATTAATTAACATAATTAATATATTGTAAATTGTTGCTTCTTGGGCATTTCACATCCTAAGAAGAGGGGACCTAAAATATATTACTTATTCCTAACCAAGATCGGAGTTTTCCCAAAAGATTTTTTAAAAATTCTGCTTCTAATGTATTCACAAATTCACTCAGTAATAAGCCCTCTAAAAACCTGCTTCCAAGGTGAGAGTTCCCAAAACCACACTGGATAAATACTGCTATGCAATGAGCAAACACTAAGACAGCAAAACACAGATGAAAGGAAGAACAGGCAATGGCGCTCTAAGTAATTTCTTCCTTCAAGTACAAAAATCTAATGAGAAAACATAACTTAAAAGTCTCAAAATGCAAAACAGATGCCTCATTGGAATGGCTTATCAGACATTGAAAAACCTGATTTTCGATCCTCAGAAAAATTGCTAGCATCCAGTATAACACTCATAAATGTTTAAAAAATTGTGTCTCCTATTTCTCAAATTTTATTTACTTTTGTTGTATTCCTCAAATGTGCATGGCATCCTTGCAATGAAAATGTTCTTTAAGAAAAGAAACATTTCAGCCTGGAATATATTTAGAAAGTTTTAAGTGGGTAAAAATGACAATGATTATAATAATGATAACTGCTAATATGTATCAAGTGATTATTATATATGCCAGGCACTCTGTCATGTTTTAAACACACTGACTCTGTCATGGCCACCATTGCACCCCTGGGAAAATGGGGGGCAGAGAGGCAACAAGCAGCCTGGGAATGGTGGGGTCACAGCGTGGACCCGTGTCTGCCCCCAAGCCTGGGCCAGGCCTCTGCGCTCAGGCACGCCTTGCACCTGCCGGCCGGACTCCTATCCTGCGCGAGGCTGGGGGAGCCGTCGTGGACACCCTCCCGCTCTGTTCTCTGTTCACAGCAGAAGAAAGTAAGAACAGGGCGGGTGTTTCCAGGCCAGCATCCCTGGGGCCTCAGGACCCCAGACAGGCTGCCACAGCCCCGACACACGCACGCCCCCCAGGGCACAGGCTCACGGCCGCGTACACCACACAGCAGCTCTGGCTCCAAGTCCGTGCAGCCCCCGGGGAGTGCGCGTGTCCATCAGCACTCTCACCCACTCCTTCATCTGCTCCCTCACTCACTCAACAAGCCTCTGTCGGTTTGGTCTGGGGGTTCTTTCACTGAGATGTAATTCAATTCAAGTGTACAATTCAGCGGGTCCTCGGATCTTCAGGGGTGAGGTAGCCATTACCACTACCTAACTCCAGAACGTTCCATCACCCCAAAAACACCCCGAGCCCGCAGCAGTCCCTCCCAGCTCCATCACCCCAAAAACACCCCGAGCCCGCAGCAGCCCCTCCCAGCTCCATCACCCCAAAAACACCCCGAGCCCGCAGCAGTCCCTCCCAGCTCCATCACCCCAAAAACACCCCGAGCCCGCAGCAGCCCCTCCCAGCTCCATCACCCCAAAAATACCCCAAGCCCGCAGCAGCCCCTCCCAGCTCCATCACCCCAAAAACACCCCGAGCCCGCAGCAGCCCCTCCCAGCTCCATCACCCCAAAAACACCCCGAGCCCACAGGAGCCCCTCCCAGCTCCATCACCCACAAAACACCCCGAGCCCACAGCAGTCCCTCCCAGCTCCATCACCCCAAAAACACCCCGAGCCCGCAGCAGTCCCTCCCAGCTCCATCACCCCAAAAACACCCCGAGCCCGCAGCAGCCCCTCCCAGCTCCATCACCCCAAAAACACCCCGAGCCCGCAGCAGTCCCTCCCAGCTCCATCACCCCAAAAACACCCCGAGCCCGCAGCAGTCCCTCCCAGCTCCATCACCCCAAAAACACCCCGAGCCCGCAGCAGCCCCTCCCAGCTCCATCACCCCAAAAACACCCCGAGCCCGCAGCAGCCCCTCCCAGCTCCATCACCCCAAAAACACCCCGAGCCCACAGGAGCCCCTCCCAGCTCCATCACCCACAAAACACCCCGAGCCCACAGCAGTCCCTCCCAGCTCCATCACCCCAAAACACCCCGAGCCCGCAGCAGTCCCTCCCAGCTCCATCACCCCAAAAACAGCCCGAGCCCGCAGCAGCCCCTCCCAGCTCCATCACCCCAAAAACACCCCGAGCCCGCAGCAGCCCCTCCCAGCTCCATCACCCCAAAAACACCCCAAGCCCGCAGCAGCCCCTCCCAGCTCCATCACCCCCAAAACACCCCGAGCCCGCAGGAGCCCCTCCCAGCTCCATCACCCCCAAAACACCCTGAGCCCGCAGCAGCCCCTCCCAGGTCCATCACCCCCAAAACACCCTGAGCCCGCAGCAGCCCCTCCCAGGTCCATCACCCCCAAAACACCCTGAGCCCGCAGCAGCCCCTCCCAGGTCCATCACCCCCAAAACACCCTGAGCCCGCAGGAGCCCCTCCCAGATCCATCACCCCAAAAACACCCCGAGCCCGCAGGAGCCTGGGCTCCCAGCCCTGGGGCCCCAGGCAGCGTCCCGCCTGCCCCACGGACTGCCTGTGTGGCCCGCTCAGGTCAGGGGACGCAGGCCACACAGCCTGTCCTATCTGGCTGTCCTCACTGCACACGAGGCTTACAGGAGTGACTGAGTCCTCCCTCCTTTCTGCGGCAGCATGACCTCCCACCGCATGGACCTCCCACACACAGGGCCATGCCGTGTGTATCACCCCTCCTCGGGGGCCACTCCCAGCGCCCCTACACTCCAGACCCCTGGGCACAGAGGTGATGAAGAACCAACACCCCCGAGGAGCTGGCGGATCAAAGGCGGAAACGACTTAGAAAATGGGAAACGGCTGACGGGGCGGAGTGTCTGTTCACAGCCAGGCCCTGGTGGGCAGACCCACGCGGCCCACCCTCCCCTCCAACGCAGGACTGGGGTGAAGTGTGCTTCGAGGCCGGCTCTGGGATCCCCCCAGCCCAAGGTGCCCATGAGCCTGCCCCCCGGGGGCTGCAGGCCTCCCTCTGCCCCCTGGCCGGCCCAGCCAAGCACCTGGCCTTGGAAATCAGTCCGGGCAGCCCGCGTGCCCACGGGCCCGGATCACCCGGGGGACAGAGTCCACCTGACTCCGCGCAGGGTGTCGGGCAGGCGGGAAGCCACGCCCCCAGGGTTTCCTGCTGCGCGGCGCCCTCAGGGCCGCGGCCTGGCCAGCATGACACCCTTCCTGCTGCAAGACCGAGTTCACAGGCGGGAGTGGAAGTGGCCTCCTCGGGGCCGAGACTTCCTTGCTGGGAAAACTTCCCGAGCCAGAGCAGAGCTGACCGCTTTCCAGCCTCAGGGCGCCGCGTCCACAACAACCTGAGGGCTCCTTGGGGGTGTCTTTCCTCCACATCCTCATTTTTGAGGGTCTTCAGGACATTGACCTACGGGGCCTCAGCCCCTCTCCGGGTCACAGAGGAGGCAGGGCCGCCCCGGGCCAGGACGGCGGGGAGAGGGCGGCTGCGGGGGGCAGGCGCGAGCCTCGGCGATTTTTCTTGGTCTGTTTAGCGGACTTATTATGTGATCCCAGGAAATGTCGGAGGCCTTTTCCAGATGTCACTCCCCGCAACAGGCCATTTGTCCCTCTCCAACGTAACGAAGTATTGGCATTTAACTCAGGCAGCCCCCACGCCGATCTGTCTTGTGCAGGTCGAGAGAATCAGAATGACCCCTGCTGTCAGAATGAGATAAATACCCCCTGCCAGAGAAGAGCGCTGGGAACAGCGCAGAACTGTCGAGAAGCCCGGGGCTGGGACTGCAGTCAGAGTCGAGGGACAGGGCACAAAGCCCGGCACCTGCCCTGGCAGGGGCACAGGTGACAGACCACTGGCAGTGCCGGCGGGCGCGGCTGGACGAGACACTAACAGAAAAGCAGGCGCTGCAAGGCTCTGTCTGAAAGAGGCCGCGTACTGAGCCCCGGCGAGTTCACACCGTGGGGCGGGCGCCAGCTCTCGGGGTCAAGATCCCCTGACCCCAAGGGTGCGCACCTGCCCCCGGAGCTTGCCCGCTGCCCTTACGGTCCGTGGGGCAGTGGGGCAGGGGGGCAAGGGGTCTGCGCCTCAGGTCAGCGGGACTCGGTGATGGCAGAGGCCGAGGCCAAAGAGGCGGGACACGGAGGTGAGGCATCCCGGCCACCGGCCCAGGTTCGGGGCAGAAACAGGACCCAAAGGGCAAAGCTGATAAACTCGCAGGAACACGACGGCAGACGGACCCGACCGTCAAGGACGGACGTGCGGCCTGCGCAGCTACACGGCAGCGGGTGCATCCAAGCAGCGGCTCTGGGTGCCGCCCCGGGACCTGGGCCGTGTGGACATCCTGACCCGACCTGTGAAGACGCTGCAGGCGAGGGGAGTGAGGGGCTCGGGGCCCCCAGGACGGAGGGAGCCCCCACACAGCCTCCCCAGCTCCAGGCAGGGCTGACCCCACCCACCGCCCCAGGGAGCCAGAACACTCAGGGCCCATGGTGGACTCTGTAAAAGAGCATTTAGGACAAACACGCTACTTAAAGTGACAGAATGTAAACCAAACCGGTTCATCAAAACCCAGACTAGATTCCACGTCTTACTTTCATACTTTAGTCACAAAGGGACATCAACGCCGGAGTGAGCAACGCCGTCTCGGAGCTGCACCCAGCCCTCTTCCCCAGCTTGCCCGCACACCTCGCTTCGGGGCCGGGCCTTACCCCGGGGCACCAAGGTGGGGCAAGATCTCTAACCCCACGGGGCCCTCAGAGTGCCGGGAGGCAAGCGCACAGCTAAGCCCCGGGAGGCGACCAAGACGCTGACTGCCACAGTCCCGGGCACAAGAC